TATATATATATATATATATATATATATATATATATATATATATATATATATATATATATATATATATATATATATATATATATATATATATTACTTATTTATTAATTTAATATGATAAAGATTAAAAAGAAAATATAATGTTCCATGATGTGTTACATAGCTCTTCTTTAGCGGAAAAATGCGGAAGAAAAGGGAATCATTCTTTTTAACTCATTTATCTTTTTTTACAATTGATTTAGCTTTAACCTGGGGATAAACAATAGTACTGTTTAAAATAATCATAAGTCAGTTTTATTTCTAGTGAACTTCGGTATCTGCTCAAGGAAGACTTCGTTTTCTGCCAATCAATTGAGGAAGGTAAGATATTCAACGATTTCTATTCCCATCCAAACTAAATAAAATAATGATAAATTTCAAAGACTAAATTTTATACGTGTTTACTAATTCTACTTTTTTTTTTAAGGGCCCATTTCACTGATTTCAGAGAAATAATATCGTCCAGCAATAATTTTGTGCCCTATTATTCATAATTTCAAATATATTTCATATACTCTTCCTACAACAAAAAAAAGCATATAATATAATTATTGTTATGTCAGATTGTATTTTTGGGTTTTATTATTTTAATTTGAAAAAGCCTTAAATAAACGTTTTTAATGTAACTTTAAATGATGCAAAATTATGGCTTCTTCCAAAATTCATTTTCAAATGCCTGTTGTGTTCATCGCTGTTTGATTTGAAACAGATCATACTTGGCATCAAATCATATCCTAATATGGTTCTACTTTTTACAGAGTTAAGACAAAATTACAGAACACGGACGCTATGGCTGAAGAAAACTCGACACCGGAGGAGAATATGAACAACTCGGGGATGCCATTCGAGACGAAAAAGCGCATCATCGAGGAACGTATTGCTGATGTGAAGCAAAGCATGCTTAATTTGCGCATGACAATGCGCGAAACTACCGAAGCAAGCAATTTGAAACCAAACAAAGTTCCTCTTAGCGATTTTCTTTTTTTTTAATTGACCTTTACAATGTTCAGGAAGTGCGAGGTGTATTTTATCGTGTCATGAAGTTGCAAAGCATCGCTAATAGTGTCTCGGAAAATTTGAAGATGCAGCTGGAGGAATCGAAGAGAATGCGTGAAAAGAAGGTTAACTTTAAAACACATTTTCCAAGGCAAAACATCATCAGATGTTAATATAGCCCTTCAGCCTTCTAATTCATCAGCAAGAAATACTGTTTTAATTTTAAGTAAAGTATAAAATATAACAAATCTAAGTTGTAGCTTTTGGAACACAAACGTCTTCTCGACAAATCGCGACGCATCCTGGATGAATCCAAATGTTTGATTGCGGTTTTCGAAGAATACGTCAAACAGAATCGTAAACGCCAGCAGTTTCCTTTGTCATCCTCAGAGTCCCATCAAAACATTAAGAATTAAGTTATCGTCCTATTCTGCAGAAATCTCAATGAAGTTGCTAGCATTATCCAACAAAAAAAGCGTAATTAATTATTTACAGAGTGAACTCCCAAGATCTCTTGGGTCTTGAAAAATATAGCAAAAGTAATGTCTTACTGGTTGATATCGACTGATATGAATTTTAGGTTTCGTGACGAGGATGGAAATACATGGGTGGAAGTAGACGACCAGCAGCCTGGTAAGGGACTCAATTTAATTAGTAACTTTCAATGATTCTCATTGTAACCAATATATGAAGGTACAATCTAAATTTAGCTTTAAACCAGGAGTGAAGTTTTTTAAGGATGTTCCGGATATCATTATAAAGGCCATAACGATAGCAACGCCTATGGTGACGGCAAAAATTTCAAGTGAAGAGTTAGTTACCAGAGAGTAATCGAAAATGAGTGATCAGGAGGATTATTTTTTTCTAGAATATGCTTTATTTATTTTTCAACAGGAAACTTAAACTTGCCCAATTCAAAATTTAGAAATTTAGGGGAAAAGTACGCGACAAACTTTATCAAGGTCCTTTTATTCCAAAACAGTTTTTTAACTGAGCATTTCATCTTCGTCAATAAATGCTAACTAATTAGTTGTTGTCGATTACAAATTAGTGAGGTTATATTGGGAGAGGGGAGAAGGGGTAATCGTATGGATAAATTTTGGTGGCAATATACGCACAAAAGCATCCAAATTGGCTGAACATTAAATGTTAGATTAAGATTTTACGTGACACATTCCTCTCAAGATCCATATCCTCGAATAATTAATAGATTTTGAAAGGGAAAATGAAATTTTTTATTCCACTTTTAAAATATTTCTATTTGTGCAATATTTTAAAGTCACCAATCATTGAGAGTTCTTTTTAAAGTGTTCATATTACATGTACATGTATTCTATAAAAGTTACTTTTTATATTCATTTGCCTCACTTCTACTCTTCTGCATTCCTGTTTTCAAGTATTGAAATAAAAGTTTTCTTATCCATACATAACATAACAACAAATGATAGTGACAAAGGAGACACGTAAAGGCGTAAAAAATGCACGCCAAATGTAAGAGGAATTTAAAGAAGGATGAAAGTTTTCATTGCAGTCCACTAACTACAGCGTTTCATTTAGTTGATTCATTGTTAGACAAAGATGATTGAGAGCGGAGGGGAGATGTGCCGGGAGTGATTTGTCGGGATTTCCCTTCTTCTTCTAGTTTTGCGTTCACGTGTATACGTGAGAGTGGTACGGAATGGAGGATCGGGTAGGATGGAATATGATAGAGAATGACAACAGGCGATATTACGTGATTTAACTTGTGCATTAACACGTTATCGCGGAATTATTTCAGAGTTTCTTTTCACGACAGTGTCGTTCTTTGAACAATTTATATCATAATTATAAAATGAGCCGCAGGTTAGTCATTCATTTCGTTGTGATATTTGTACTGTCATGAAGCACACATATGTGACATGCACAACATCGTAATATGGATGTCGTGATGGTCAAGTATTGTCAAAGTGTAACAAGGGGTAACGTAGGAGCTTCAAGCAAGCCAAAAAAGCATCGCGGCCAGATTTGGTAATCTGAAGTACCGAGGTAGCGGTGGATTAAATGAAGTTGCTGGGAACTGCTGTGATAGCCTCTGTTAGGAGGTCAGTCGACGGTAGCGCATTAGCTTTTTATTGTAAGGAGATGCGTTTTACTGATGGCCGGGCAGTTTTGGTTGTTTTAACCAGAATTGTTCAGTACACCCCCTGTAATTTTGAACTCTATTTCTTAGTTACAGTTCAATAAGAAAACATAAAGACTGCTAGAACTCGTTAGGAATCTATCAATCGATTATCGTCCCAGAAAATTTAACCGTTCAGCAGTTTCTTTGGTGTATGGAGACGATATTAATAAAAGTTCAACTGTTATAGGATTGCAACCTTACATTCATCGGGTAAGAAAACAAGGAGCCGGAGCAATAGTCCATCTACTGATAGTGGGAAACGTCAGCAAGGATTTTTTGTTGGCGGTAGTGAGCAGAGGTAAGTATGATTTGCCGTAAGCTTTCCACTATAATAATTCTTGCCAAATCTTCGGATATATATTCTTTTAATTTTGGTTTATGAAGTGATGATGAATTACCCAAGTTAGATTTTCGGAACTGTTTCAACCACGTCACCCTGTACTGTCAGAACCTGGTAAAGCGATTAATAAGGATTCAAGTAGGTCACCGTAATATATTTACATCTTATTTCATTTCAAACATATTTCAGCGGGAATTTAGTACTTGGATCAGATAGTTCACGTAGTGAAGATGTCGTTTCACAGTTCTTCAATTCAGCTCGTGCACATGGTGCTGAATCTCTGACACCAGAAGAGAATGCCAAACTAGGAACTCGTGATGCAGTGAAGTTCGCTTCGAGTAGTAAAGGTTATCGCTTAGGGGATGCTGTACAGCCGTCTGAGTTGGTTGAATCGAGCATTTCTTCTTCTCCAGTAAGTATTTTGATGTTTCTTTCCTAATCAAACTTTTGGAAATTATTTTAGTAATCTTTTTGTTAAATTGAATTTAAGGTAGCAATCCTTCTGTTTCAGCAAGAAGTGGCACTCGTCATGTGGGAAAATGGGTTTACTGTAGATGATGGTCCACTTCGATCGTACAGTGATTCGCCAAATCATTCGTTTTTGCAGTCGATTTGCGAAGGGTAACTTTTAACTTGACCAAATGAACTTTTTTGTTTCTCTTTATTTCCTAAAAAATTTTAAGACAGGGTAACGTAAAATAGTTTTCGTTAGATCTTGGTGCATTTGTATTACTTTTTTTTAGAAACTAGAAATATTGGGTCTTCCAGCAAAAACAATCGTTCTTGTTTTTGTTAAGAGATTCGAAATTACGGTGATTGAAACCTGTAATGAAATTTGTTTTCAACTATAATATTAACAAAGCAAAATGGAATGCGTCTGACACGTTAAACAAGTCAAAGAAATCTTACGGCTTAGTGGCCTACTGATTCAAGAGAAATCATCTCTAAACCTTATAAGTTGAGTGAAAAACTTTATTAATGGTATAATTAGATCCCTTTAAAGAGTCCAAATATTACAGCGTTGTGCTAATATTGAGAAATATTTCAGTGACCAGTCTTTTGCGTTTTATAGTGATTTGTGGTTTATAAACCCAGTTATTCTTACTGAGTATATGAAATATGTTGCTTCACACCTCTATTTAAAGTAGTTTAGGCACATCCCGAGCGAGATAATACGACAGTATCCGGGTAAAACTATTGACATCAGAATGGAACGTCGACAGGAACAGTACGTAGTTGAAGCGAAACCGTTCAGTGGACAAGGTCAGAGACTAGGTGAACTTGTTCCAATCATCGCTGTTGCAGAAAATTCGAAGCGAAGAACGAGTAATGGAGCTAATCCAGCGAACAGTGGATTTGTAGGTATGCTATGTCTATAATGTTTTGACGAGTAAAACTTGGAATAATCTTGTTTACTGTGTTCGTCTCCATAATAAATGCTTGATAAATCCAAGGAAATTTTGTTTTTTAAGGATATTACTTTATGACGCTGTGTTGAATTACTTTTTATTTATTGTGTTGTATTTCAGGACATGTACATCCTGGAATGCACTGCTCGAATCTACCATTTATACGTTACAGAGTGTCACTCAGTGGTCTAAAAATAATTGGGTTTTGGTGATTTTAGATTCCGACTGTGTTAAGAAGGCTCAGGAAGCGGTAAAATTAGTTGATGGAGAGCCCATTACGCATGTGCAAATTCGACTACCAAGTGGAGGGCGGGTTGTCGGGCAATTCAACCATAATCATACTGTTCGAGACATTCGGAATTTTCTCGTAATGTGAGTCACAGGTTTTCAATGTAGACATTTGTACTGATTTTCATTTCCAGTTATTGCTGCTTTCAACCATAAACTGTGTTAGCCATACTATAACTAAATGCCGTATCAAGTGTTATGATATTTTTTTTAGCGCAGCACCAGATTATGCCTTCCAACCATTCAATTTGATGACAACTTTTCCGAATAAAGTGATCGAAGAAGAAAACATTTCTCTGAAAGAAGCAGGTTTACTGAATGCAGTTATTGTTGCAAAACTTGTATAGTTCATGTTCTGTAGAATTCTTGCTGTTTTACTTTATGTCTTTTCACTTCTTTCTCAGCAACGTATCTGTTTTGCTGTGACGTTTCAGTAATGTCAATGTGCAACACATGGATGCAAAAACTTTTCATATGCCGGAGGGAGAACATAGTATTCTCTTTTTTCTTGTAATAATGATCTGAATTGCTGTTAAGGATTGCAAATAAAAAAATTTTCATTTCATGGCAGTACTCAGGTTACTGGCTTTCCAAGTTCTTTGCATTCTAGAGCATTTTGATACTTGAATTGAAGGCACATAATCACTGGAATTTTCATCTCTGGAAGCAAAAATTTAGGAAGAGAAGAGGAGAAAATTAAATAGCATATTATGCTATGATTCGTTCGATATTACGAATTTCTTCGAAAAAATCCATGGTTAATTCTAATGTTTAGTGGATCGTAAACGGGAGATGTTTTATACTAATTGCGCGGTAGTCCCTGCAGTGCGGGTAGCCTATATGGAGCACAAGCTATGTATGATGTTGCGAAAGAGTGGTGCAAACGTGCGTTCATTCCTGGTCTACATTCTTTAGATTCCTGGCTTATTCAACTTAGAAAATAGGATTAGGGTAAGGGTGGTTTTTGTGTATAGTTTGGAAAGGTTCGTGATTTTCGTGCTATATGGTTCTCAGTCTTGCAATATAATTTCTGGATTGTTTCCTTTGGTGAAGTGGTATTTTATTTAATAGTTTTGTATATATGTTATTCCTTCGTATGCAGGTTCTAATGAGTGTGAAGGAAATTCTGGGTTTGCGGATATGGACGAAATTCTTCCAAATAGTTAAAGGTTGCGGTGGATGGATTGGTTTCATGAAGAAACGTTATTTGTAAGCGTATTTGAAATGTTTTACTCTATTAGTATATTATTAAGTAATTGCTGGTGATACAATAAATCTCATTTATAGTATTCTATATTGAGATTTTTACAGTCATGTTGTCTTCCATTGTTTTCCATTTCTGTCAGTTTCTCTTTATTTTGATATATTTTCTGTGTTCTGTTCAGAATGGATGAAACGAGAATAGGGAAATTCATGGGAGAAGACAAATTCGGCAATAAATACTACGAAGTTAGTAGACGTTTCTTTCATGTTTCTCATAATTTTTTAACCTGTATTGAGTAATGGAATCAATATTAAATCATTAAATTTTCCATGTATCTTCCAGGACAATTCTTATTTTATACCCCGAAATCGCTGGGTTGAATATCCAGAACACGTTTGGCTTGATTATGACGCTTCTCAAATTCCTGCTGAGTGGTGAGTTAACCTTTTTCTATTGCTCATCTGTTTCAATATTCTTTGGATGATTCATGTGCATTTTTGTTAAGCTCATACTTTCATAGGCATATGTGGTTACATCATATTACCGATGAAACTCCTGTCCAGAATCCTCCAAAACGAAGGAAGTGGATGTTGGACCATGAAGAGACACTGACTTTATTAGAGTAAGTTTAAGAAATGTTTTATTATTACCCTTCCCTTGAACTTTTGATATGTTTTGAGAAGGTTAGTGTTTCATTCCTTTGCATCATTTTGGTTTTTTGGAATGTTTGGCACAATAGATTTATAAGTTTATGTCTCATTTATTTCGGTCTAGGTTTGTTGGAGTGTACTGGTGATTGTGAAGGGCAAAAATTTGTTTTTCAGGAATCGAAAGTATTACCCTTACTCGACAACAAAACAGAAGCTGTCGCTATGGAACCCGAAGTTTAAGGAAACACAGTAGAGATATCTTTCCCCCTGTGTTCTTATTAATATAGAGTATCTGGTGCTTTAACATGTAGATTGCAATGTTCAATTGTCGATAAAGATTATTTTAAGCTTTCGAATGTTGTAGTGGTCGGATTAAAGATCAGTTTTTTTTGTTTTACAAAATTACACGCTAGGTTTCTGTATGTTGCGTTTTTCATAGGTCGTACGGTTGCATGGCG